CAATAATAATGTGCCATGGATGGTGTTGTGTTGAAACAGAAGACAAAGTATTTACGCCATACGTCCCAATCAGTTTTATCGACTGATATATATGAACGTATGTACTCATTAAAAGTTCTATGACTTCTTTCTACTGTTTCTACTGTCTGGTGGTGGTGCGCTGTTGACGTTATATTTTCTATTTTTATACCCGGTACTCGAAGAGTAAATAGGGTTTATTGTATTTGTGTGAATAACGGTTGTATGTAACGCACAGATGGAAGCGTTTCCGACCCCATAAAGTATATATATTCTTGATCAGCATCAATAGCCGAGTGGATAGAGCCATGTCTGTCTGTCCGTCTTGTTTGTCGGCTAGTTCTCAGAGACTATAAAAGCTAGTGCCACCAAATTTTTGGCGCCGGATAGCTGTATACTCACACTGAAACCAGTGTATTTCAAAAAGTGTATTTCGAAAGCCAGTGGGGGGGTTTCCGTAATTGTTAAAGCAGTTTTTGTATGTTTAGTCGTTTTCGACTTTTGGCATTTTTGACATTTACGTATGTAATCAGTAATCTCTTTGGTCATGCCTTTCCAAAAATAATACCTTTTGACCTTGGCCAAGGTTTTTTTATGCGTGGTTGAGTACGCCACTCTTAATGTTCGTAATGTTTTATTGCCCATTTTTTAAAAATAATATATTGAAACGATTTCAAAGATATTTTCCCACGGTGCCACTTTGAGTTGGCTGATTCTTTGTTTACCGGCTTGCATTTCAAGCCTTTGGAAGAACTGACCTAAGTCAAGGCTTCCATTAGTATACAAATCGCTAACTTCATATCTTGCTGTAATTTTGTTCCGTGTTTAAAAAAACATAAATTATTTTGTACATGCAAGGTCACTACTTTCCGTACTTCGTCATTGTTGATGACTTCATATAAGTTGGGATTTGAAGCTTTTTCTAGAGATTGCCTAGGCAATTATATTTAATCTTTTCCTGCGCAGGGTTTTTGTGTACTTGTCTGTCTTTTAGTGACTATTAATGGGCTGTTGCGTCTGCTGGCGTGCCCGGTACTCAGCTATTGTGAGTGGACGCGGTCCATCGGATGGAAAAGCCTCTAAAGCCTCCTTTAGACTCGGCTTTTCCCTTTTCTCGATAGGAGCAGCGTTATGGAGAGCCGTCTCCAGCTTCTTTCCAACGATGGCGTAAGGGGCGTCAGGCCTCTCACGTTTATATTTGTACTCTGTTGTCCTATGGGCCTATGGGCTCCGGCGGTGCCGGTGCCGGTCAACGCACAGGTCATCGAGGTACGCTCTATGTTAGGGGACAAACATGGATCACGTTTGGGTGCCGTCGGTTACGTGAAAGACGCCGACGTCGCACTCAAGATATTTATGATTACATACATCAGGACCGTATTGAATCAGTACAGAAACACTTTTTATTATTTGCCCTACGGGGCCTCAACTGGGATGCAACTGTGAGACTGCCATCCTACCGTAGTAGACTTCTTTTAATAAATCTTCCATCCTTAGTTAGTCGTAGAAAAATGCTTGGTGTAATTTTTAGGCACAACTTGATCAAGGGGCTACATCTGTCGGGACTGAACGACTCGGCGTATTTGAAATGCTAAGGGTAATCTGGGTGATCTTTGAAATAAGGAAACAAGGAAGGTGATACATCTAGCTTAATACGGAGTGTGCTTGGGAAATCCCAAAATACGAGCCTAATATTAAGGGAGATGGTGTAATATAGGAGTTGATTGAGGGGAGGAGAAGAATTTAGAGGTATACTAGCCTACCTCTCCCGTAGTTAGTTTCATTTTAGTTTTGTCTTGTTTGTGATTTTGGTAATTTTTGCTTGCTTAGCTATAGTAGCTCTAGTCTAGTTATGTTTAGCTCTAATTTTCCTCGAATATTAGCCTAACATCTATCTTTCCTGCATGCTGGCGACCGGTTCGGTTAATCGCGCCGCGCGTCATGCGCCAGCGCCCCTCGGTCGGTTGGGCGGGAGGAGGGCTGCGTTCTGCTGGGTTCCGCGCGTAACAGGCTTTGGCTTGGTGTCGCATGGGCCACTTGATGGTGCAGTCATTGCATATCAACGTCCAGAAGAAATAAACACTGCAACAAAGTGTTACAGTGTGTTGTCCCTTAAGTACCTTGGTACAGTGGGTATTGACTATGTGTGCATACTACACCTGTTATGGTTACTTCTGGAGTACCACAGGGTAGCCATTTAGGCCCCTTACTTTTCACAATCTTTATTAATGACCTGCCTTCTGTATTAACAAATTCTCGAGTACCTATGTATGCGGATGATGTTAAACTCTGTGCCCAGTAAACACTGCAACAGAGTGTTACAGTGTGTTGTCCCTTAAGTACTCTTGGTACAGTGGGTATTGACTATGTGTGCATACTACACCTGTTGTGGTTACTTCTGCAGTACCACAGGGTAGCCATTTAGGGCCCTTACTTTTCAAAATCTTTATTAATGACCTGCCTTCTGTATTAACAAATTCTCGAGTACTTATGTATGCGGATGATGTTAAACTCTGTGTCCAGTATGCAATCTCTCGCTTGCAATCTGATCTCAATAGCTTTCAGTCATGGTGCTGTGCAAATATATTACTACTTAATGCCTCGAAGTGCAATGTAATGACTTTTACCAGCCCCTTCCTAGCTCCTTACACCCTCTGCGGTAGTTCTCTTGAGAAAATTACATTGGTTGATGATCTAGGTGTTAAGCTGGACCCCAAGTTAAAGTTTTCTGAACACATTTCTACCATGGTAAATAAAGCCATGGGTGTGCTTGGGTTTATAAAAAAGTGGTCAAAGGAATTTGATGACCTCTATATAACGAAGACTCTCTATATCTCGCTTGTTCGTCCGGTTTTAGAATACGGCTCATGTTTATGGTGCCCTCAGTACAACATACATCAGGACCGTATTGAATCAGTACAGAAACACTTTTTATTATTTGCCCTACGGGGCCTCAACTGGGATGCAACTGTGAGACTGCCATCCTACCCTAGTATACTCCTTTTAATAAACCTTCCATCCTAAGTTAATCGTAAAAAAATTCTTTGTGTAATTTGTATGCACAACTTGATCAAGGCGGATGTAGCCAGCCCTGACTTGTTGAGCCGCATAAACTTCACGATTCCCATAAGACCCACTAGAAACTACATTCCTTTGTTCCTCACTGTGTATATCAAACTATGCCTTGCACGAACCCTTTAGGGTCTTATGCTCGGATTATAATTTCCTATATCACATTATATCCTCGACAAACTCCCCTTAACTCCCCCTCTCCACCTCTTCTTAAATCTCTTATACTACTGGGTTCCGCGCGTAACAGGCTTTGGCTTGGTGTCGCATGGGCCACTTGATTGTGCAGTCATTGTATATCAACGTCGAAACAAGATATTGCACCGATTGCCTGGCTCAACAGCACTCCGGACAGGATTGCCGAAGCGGCGACCGGTGTAAGGTGTGTGACCGGAGCCACCACACGTTGCTGCACATGGACGGTGCGCACCTGCCGCCCTCTTCTCGACGTCCAGCCCTCGCACCACTTCCAGTGCCATCTGCAGCTTCTGCGTCTCAGGCCGGACACCGCCTTCGAGAACCAGTATCTCCTTTTGCAGTACTGCAAGGGGGGGGGGGGGGGGGGGGGGGGGGGGGGACGATGTTGAAAGTAGCAGCAGCGAGTTAGCAGCGGGCTGTTGTTAACAGCCGGAGCTCGCTCGCGCTCTCACTCCCTGCGCTCTCGCGCTCTTCCTCTTTCCTGGCGCTCGCGAGCTGGCGGGTCGCTAAGCTAGGTTGAGTATTCTACCCACCCCCGTACATTTCGGTACACGCGAGTTAATACTGTCGTCTTCTACATACACACATACATACATCCATCCATCCAAACCCATACAATTCTACACCCGCGCCGCGTACTGTGTCGCCTATTTCATTTCGGGACCAAGGAATTATTTTGTAGCGAAAGGAAGCCACCCTCCTACAAACAGGGAGGAAATTAAAAAGAAATGAGAAGGGACGTGTGAGACGCTTCTTACGCGTCACAACTTTTATACCCGGTACTCAGTACTACATCTGTACCTTAGCGGTTTTTTGTCAAATTTTACATTTTTTCTTCATCTGTCATCTACATGACATCTACAATAATTCTCACGCCAACACGCTCCTTTAGCTCGCCCCCCCTTTCCAAGAGACACACACTGCAGAGTCCCGGCAGAGGCAGAGGCGGAGAAACACGAGAGGCAGAGTCCGCACACTGCAGAAGCAGAGTGAGAACGAGAGAATGTGAAAAAAACAAATATAAGCTGCGGGACGGGGTGGGATTAGCCACGGCAAATTAATTTCTTCATTGTGGCTATAATAATGATCCAATCGGATCCCAATTTGGTGATCTGATAGATATGGTCTTTAGTTTCTTTTATCTTTAAAATTGTAGATTTTTGAGGTTTTTGCCCATTTCCGGGGGCGGAAGGGGGCGTGGCTCATTTTTTAAATACACTAGTTTCAGTGTAAGCATACAGCAGTCTGGAGCCAAAATTTGGTGGCTCTAGCTCTTATAGTCTCTGAGATCCAGGCGCTTATAAGGACGGGCGGACGGACGGACGGACGGACGGACGGACAGACGGACAGACAGAAATGGCTCAATCGACTCGTCTATTGATGCTGATCAAGAATATATATACTTCATGGGGTCGAAAACTTTTCCTTCTGTGCGTTACATACAACCGTTATTCATACATTTTTTGACGCTGAAAGCGCCCGAAGCGCGAAATCTATTAAAACAAATGGTTTACTAACTATAAATGCATGGATATATAAAATATTTACCAATCCAAAAAGGGTGCAGAAGTTCTTCTCAGACATATAAAAAATTCAATTTTCAATTTTTAAACCACGGAATGTTCAAAGTGTGTCTAATGGGAATCGTAAAGCTTATGCGGCTCAACAAGTCAGGAATGTCTACATCCCTTGATCAAGTTGTGCATAAAATCATCACTCGGCGTTCTCTTCAATTGTGTCGAATAAATCTTTCGCCTTTTACTAAAGATTCCCCTGGAGAGGAACAAACCAAAAAATAATAATTACACCAAGCAAGTTTTGTTTCATTTTTTTTTCTCTCTCTCTCTCTTTATATTCACAATCTGTTTGTTTAAACAATAAGTAAATTGTATAATTAATATTAAATTAACAGAAATAGCCGTTTCCCAATGAGCCCTGCTATTATATATAACATATTTTCAGTTTGTTGGATTTATCTATCGGGGAGATCGAAAATGTGGTATCTTTTCAGTCTTCTTGTTAAGCTGTTGTCTAATAGACTTAAGGCTAAATTATTTTCATGGTTGTGGAGTCTGTCGACGTATTTCTTACTAGTTTTCTTTATTTCTTCTTTAATGGTTGGAATATTAAGATCTTTGTGGATATTTGCATTAGATACGTAAAAAGGAGCATTGACAATGTGTCGCAAAGTTTTTGATTGGTAACGCTGAAGTATCTCAATATTTGAGTTGTTAGCAGTCCCCCAGAGCTGTATAGCGTAGGTCCAAACAGGCTTCAGTATGGATTTGTAGAGGCGAATTTTGTTTTCCAAAGTGGTTTCTGATTTTCGACTTATCAACCAGGACATTTTTAGTGTTTTAAGTCTAAGTTGTTGACATTTTGCTTTAATGTGGTTTTTCCATGTTAATCTGCGGTCGAGATGCAAGCCGAGATACTTCACACAGGTACTTTGTGGAATTGGTGAGCCGTTAAGTGTAACATTTGGGCAGTTACCTGGTCTTAATGAAAACGTTATTTGGACGGATTTCAGGGAGTTTATTCTAATTTTCCATCGAAGGAACCAGTCTTCAATTAGGCTTAGCTCACTCTGCAGGAGTTCAGAAGCTTCATTTATAGANGTGATCTTATGAACACAAAACTCGCGGGATTGTCAGAATGGACAAGATCGGTCGGACTGGGTGTAGTCCGTCGAAAACGGAACTTGTACTATTCACTAACAAGTACAAAACTCCGCCTCTCAAGATGAGAGTCTCAACCCCCCCAACACTAAACAAATTTAGGTTACCCTTTAGCGAAAATGCCAGTAACCTTGGGTTGGTAAAAAACAAGAAGTTAAATTAGAACCTAAACACGAAAGAAAGAGTGAAGAAGGCTACAATGGCCCTATAAACTTACAAAAAAGCCATCGGACTAAAGTGGGGCATGAATCCACGTGTAGTTCAATGGATATACAAAGCGGTAGCTAAACCAGTACTGCTCTACGGAGTCACAGTATGGTAAGGACTATAGTAATAGACTTAAGGCTAAATTATTTTCATGGTTGTGGAGTCTGTCGACGTATTTCTTACTAGTTTTCTTTATTTCTTCTTTAATGGTTGGAATATTAAGATCTTTGTGGATATTTGCATTAGATACGTAAAAAGGAGCATTGACAATGTGTCGCAAAGTTTTTGATTGGTAACGCTGAAGTATCTCAATATTTGAGTTGTTAGCAGTCCCCCAGAGCTGTATAGCGTAGGTCCAAACAGGCTTCAGTATGGATTTGTAGAGGCGAATTTTGTTTTCCAAAGTGGTTTCTGATTTTCGACTTATCAACCAGGACATTTTTAGTGTTTTAAGTTTAAGTTGTTGACATTTTGCTTTAATGTGGTTTTTCCATGTTAATCTGCGGTCGAGATGCAAGCCGAGATACTTCACACAGGTACTTTGTGGAATTGGTGAGCCGTTAATTGTAACACTTGGGCAGTTACCTGGTCTTAATGAAAACGTTATTTGGACGGATTTCAGGGAGTTGATTCTAATTTTCCATCGAAGGAACCAGTCTTCAATTAGCCTTAGCTCACTCTGCAGGAGTTCGGAAGCTTCATTTATAGATGTGCTTGTGGCTAAAACGGCTGTATCATCAGCATATGTTGCAACAGTGTATTTGTTTGTAACTGGCATGTCGGCCGTATATAGGGTTTAGAGAATTGGTCCCAATACGCTTCCTTGTGGGACTCCTGCGTTGATGAGAAGTAGTGATGAAGTATCGGTTTTCTGCTGCACGTAAAAGCATATTTTTGCCAGATATGATTTGATTAATAAATAGTACGGAGCAGGTAGCCATTTCTTTATCTTGTACAACAAACCTTTGTGCCAGTTCGAACGCTTGTTGAACACCAAGAAATGCAGCAGTGCAGTATTTTTTGTTTTCAAATGCCGAAACTATATCATTAATAACCCTGTGACATTGCTCAGGGGTCCCGTGACCCCTCCTGAATCCGAATTGGTATTCAGGAATGATGGAAAGTTCGTCCAAAATTGGCAACATTCTCTTCAATAGTATTTTTTCAAACACTTTCGAGAAAATTGTCAACAGAGTAATGGGACGGTATGATGTCAATTCCGTTTCTATTTTGTTTGGCTTTAGGATCATAACGATCTCTGCACATTTCCATTGACTTGGAAAGTGGTCTAGTCTTTTTTATTGTTAAAGCATTTGATTTCTGTAATAACTTCTTCATATTTGATGCTTTTAATAGGCAAGCTCTTTGGCAGGGTGACTCAAGGAATTTTTCTACTTCAGTCTGTTACTTCTGTTATATAATTATTTATATCGTTTGGCTGAAACACAAAGTGCAGATGTTGTGCAAATGCTTCCGCTTGTTCATTATTAGACCTACACCTACTCCGTTGCTTTTGCGAATATTTATGTTTCTTCTAGCTGGTTTTTTTAGGTATTTAGTCGCCCTCCATAGGTTGTATTCATTGTTGCTGGAATTAGGGTCTACGTTTCTCAGATACGCAGCTAGAGATTCATTGCGTAAGTTCGACAGCAGTTGTCCAAGCTCAAATGCAGCCTTGTTGTACAATCTTTTGTCAGCAGGGTAGTGAGTTTCAAGCCAGCGTTTTCGCAGGTTCCTTTTATTTTGTATTTTTTGTCGAAGTTCGGATGAAAGGTTCAATTGGTTTGGTTGTTGATGATTAAGAGCATGATTCGTGTTTCTGTAGCTCGCATTATGAATTGTATTTGTGAAAAGCTCCACAGCATAGTCTATCTCCTCTCCTGTTTTTAACGGAATGTCCAGGCTTATAGCTGAATCTAAATGGCTTTTAAATGCGTTAATGTCTGTAGAGGCTGTTATTACTTTATAGGGCTTTTCCAACATATGGGCTATTGTGCTGTAAGTTGCTATTATTGGAGAATGATCTGAGTTAAGGTCAAAGCTCTCCATTACTCGCATGTGTGATTGTGGGATTCCAGAGAATACTACGAAATCAATTAAATCTGGAATTTTTCGACTATCAGTTGGCCAGTATGTGGGCACACCAGTTGACAAAGTCGTTATGTTATTGTTTCGTATGCATTTGTATAACTCCGATCCCTTCGGGTTAGTTAATCTGGATCCCCACCATGGATGTTTGGCATTGAAGTCGCCTCCCACGATAAACTTTGTTCCCAGTCCTTGGAAAAAGTTTTTAAAATCGAGTTCTTTTATTGTGAATCTTGGTGGGAGATAAATCGCTGTTATTGATNAAGTTCCGTTGTTTTTGCGAATATTTATGTTTCTTTTAGCTGGTTTCTTTAGGTATTTAGTCGCCCTCCATAGGTTGTATTCATTGTTGCTGGAATTAGGGTCTAAGTTTCTCAGATACGCAGCTAGAGATTCATTGCGTAAGTTCGACAGCAGTTGTCTAAGCTCAGATGCAGCCTTGTTGTATAATCTTTTGTCAGCAGGGTAGTGAGTTTCTTGCCAGCGTTTTCGCAGATTCCTTTTATTTTGTATTTTTTGTCGAAGATCGGATGAAAGGTTCAATTGGTTTGGTTGTTGATGATTAAGAGCATGATTCGTGTTTCTGTAGCTCGCATTATGAATTGTATTTGTGAAAAGCTCCACAGCATAGTCTATCTCCTCTCCTGTTTTTAACGGAATGTCCAGGCTTATAGCTGAATCTAAATGGCTTTTAAATGCGTTAATGTCTGTAGAGGCTGTTATTACTTTATAGGGCTTTTCCAACATATGGGCTATTGTGCTGTAAGTTGCTATTATTGGAGAATGATCTGAGTTAAGGTCAAAGCTCTCCATTACTCGCATGTGTGATTGTGGGATTCCAGAGAATACTACGAAATCAATTAAATCTGGAATTTTTCGACCATCAGTTGACAAGCATGTAATACATGTAATGTAAATTCCCCCTTCATATACAGGACTTCCACTCGATTGTGCTCATGGCGATCTGCGACGCCAAGTCTAGGTTCACCGATATAGATGTAGGAGCGTATGGAAGTGAGGGAGACATGAATGCCTTTTCACATTGTTCGCTTGAAAAAGCGCTTTTGTCGGAAACGATGCAGTTTCCTGAAGACAATATGATAAACGAAGAGAGAACCCTATACTTCATTGTGGGGGACGATGCATTCCCGATGGCTAAACGGATTATGAAGCCATTTGACTCCCGACACCTGGCTGCGGACGAACGCATTTTCAATTATAGATTGAGTCGAGCTCGACGTTGTATTGAGAATGCGTTCGGCATTCTTTTCGCCAAGTGGATGGCTGTGCAACGGACTCTATTAAGCCGACCCGATAAGTCTCTAAAAAGGGTTGCTGCTTGTTGTTCGTTGCACAACTTCTTAATGCGCACGAGTCTCAATACGTATAACATAAATCTAGTTTCGTTAATTCAGACTAACCCTATATTGAACGATATCCGCCCCTGTTGCCGCTGTTACCCTCAGGACTATTGCAAGGCCATTAGAAACAACATAAAAATGTTTGTTAACAGCCTAGCCGGGTCTGTGTCATGGCAAAATGAAGCAGCTGGCGTTAAAAATAATTTAAAAAATAAAAATTTCATAATTAATATATTTATTCTCTTCTTTATATTTCTCTATTTGCATGAACTCAATATTTTTAAATAATACGATGGTCATTTTTTTTCACTTCGTTGACTTTCTTCGCTGTCAGTTTCCCCAAGTACGTTTCCCAGTACAAAAAGGCGGGCCTTATCTGTGCAGGCTCCTCATTATGGGCGAGCTTTTCCAGTATTCCCACGACATGTTCAGTTGCAAAGACGCTGCTCTCTTTTTTCTTCTTGTTCGTCTCCTGTGAACAATAGTTTAGATAAAAATATACATCATATTAGGTATTCTACACATGTAAATATGTGTACAATTGATCGCAACTTAAGTCGCTAAACTCCTTCCAACTCATAGACGAGTAGAACGTTCTGTGAACGTTCAAGTATAAGAAGTATATATAGTACTTACAGTCTTTGCGAGGAAAGGTAGGGTTGGAACTCCATGTGTGGAGCGAATCTCCAATGAACGCTATCACTCGAAACTGGACCTTCAATGGGAACTCCTCCAGCACTTCCACTCTTGGCGACTCTCTCGACATACCGGTAGCTGTCCCTTATAGACTTCCATCCATTTCTACACGTATCAACTAAAATGATACATATGCATAAACAAATAGTTCAAATGAATTACAATTGTACTTACTATCTCTATTCTTCTCAGCTGCCACAAACTCCCAAGCGCATTTTATGGCATTCACATCGAATTGATGAAGATGCATCTTAACAGAGCAGCAGTTGCATATCTCACGGAATTCACAAATAAACATTCCACAAATTACAAAGAATATTTCTAAGTGTGTGTAAACTTAAATTAAATATCTACTAGGGAAATCACTGCAACATCAAAAAGTTTACAAAAATTAATTGAAGCAATTAAGACTTTATCGATATGATAATGATAATGATGCCATTTACATTTTACATTCGAGTATGTACATATGAACAATCACTTATCGATTTATACAAACCAAATTCAGATAAAATGGGCGAGGGAAACAGCAACAGCAACTCAGTGGAGTCAGTGCATCATTTATGGAGTAATAATACACAATTCTCATAGAGCATGCTACTTTGCAGCCTGATAACGATAACGAGAGCGGGAAGACAACGATAATCGCTGGGATAAATTAAGACTATAATAAATAAGCTTAAACTCATTTGTTAATTCAACCATAATTCGTGCTAATTGTTTTTTGGGGAGCGTTCATTAAAATTGAAACATGAATTTTGAATTTTTAATGAATTTATTTGGAACACTTAACACAAGTGAAAGCAAACAGAGCTCATTAGCATAAAAATGGCGTTCACCTTTATTTAACGATTCCAGAGGCCATTCTCAAAAACTCCGCCCGTAGGCCAAAGGCAAAATAACCATTGACAATGCATTAACAAGGTTGGCATCTCTACACCCATCCCTGCCTGCTCCCCCCACCCTACCCTGCTACGACAATCACGGCGACCCCATTGACGACGTCATTCAAGCCGACGCCATTCACGACGTCATTGAAGACGACGCCATTGACGACATTGAAGACAAGCCTGTGACGACGTTATTGAAGACGACGCCATTGACGGTGTCATGGAAGGCGACGTCGTTAAGGATGACGTCATTGACGACGCAATTGAAGGCGACGGCATTGACGACGTTATTAAAGCCGGAGCCATTCTTTACGACGCACCGTGTTGTGTGACGTGAGCAATGCTCGAGCTGTTCCACAGATTTTTTTTTATGATGGCCACAGCCTCGTAGCGTGTTTGACTACCAGTGTGGTTCATACGCATCAAGTGGCCCATGCGACACCAAGCCAAAGCCTGTTACGCGCGGAACCCAGCAGAACGCAGCCCTCCTCCCGCCCAAACGACTGAGGGGCGCTGCCGCATGACGCGCGGCGCGATTAACCGAACCGGTCGCGAGCATGCAGGAAAGATAGATGTTAGGCGAACATTCTAGGAAAATTAGAACTTAACACAACTAAACTAGAGCAACTATAGCTAAGCAAGCAAAATTACCGAAATCAGAAACAAGACAAAACTAAAATGAAACTAACTACGGGAGAGGTACGCTAGTATAAGAGATTTAAGAAGAGGAGGGGAGTTAGTCGAGGATATAATGTGATAGAGGAAATTATAATCCGAGCATAAGACCCTAAAGGGTTCGTGCAAGGCATAGTTTGATATACACAGGGGAAGGAACAAAGGAATGTAGTTTCTAGTGGGTCTTATGGGAATCGTAAAGTTTATGTGGCTCAACAAGTCAGGGCTGGCTACATCCGCCTTGATCAAGTTGTGCATAAAAATTACACAAAGAATTTTTTTACGATTAACTTAGGATGGAAGGTTTATTAAAAGGAGTCTACTAGGGTAGGATGGCAGTCTTACAGTTGCATCCCAGTTGAGGCCCCGTAGGGCAAATAATAAAAAGTTTTTCTGTACTGATTCAATACGGTCCTGATGTATGTTGTACTGAGGGCACCATACACATGAGCCGTATTCTTAAATCGGACGAACAAGCGAGATATAGAGAGTCTTCGATATATATAGGTGTTCAAATTCCTTTGACCACCTTTTTATAAACCCAAGCACACCCATGGCTTTATTTACCCTGGTAGAAATGTGTTCAGAAAACTTTAACTTGGGGTCCAGCTTAACACCTAGATCATCAACCAATGTAATTCTCTCAAGAGAACTACCGCAGAGGGTGTAAGGAGCCATAAAGGCTCGGAAAGGCTCATAAAGGCTGGAGCGATAAAAAGTCATTACATTGGACTTCGAGGCATTAAGGTGTAACATATTTGCACTACACCATAACTGAAAGCTATTGAGATCTGATTGCAAGCGAGAGTGAGATGAAATGTCCTTATACTGGGCGCAGAGCTTAACATCATCCGCATACATAAGTACTCGAGAATTTGTCAATACAGGAGGCAGGTCATTAATAAAGAGTGTGACAAGTAAGGGGCCTAAATGACTACCCGGTGGTAGTCCAGAAGTAACCATAAAAGTAAAGATAAGGCGTTTTTGAAGAGGACTCTTTGAGACCTAGAACATAGGTAGCTAGAAATCCATCTCAAAAGATTTGGAGGAAACCCTAGAAGGTCGTGCTTTTGTGCAAGAAGAGAATGGTTAACAGAATCGAATGCCTTACTTAAGTCAGTGTAAATAACATCCGTCTGCAAGTTACTTTGGAACCCTTTAATGACAAAGGAGGTGAACTTTAAAAGATTAGTGGTTGTTGATCGTCGCCTTAAAAATCCGTGCTGAGCTGGAGATATAGGTGATTTGCAGAGATGTTGCAAGAGCGGAGTTAAAATTTTCTCGAACATTTTAGGAATAGAGGATAACTTGGATATACCTTTATAGTTTTTAGCGTCAGACTTGCTGCCTTTCTTATGGAGAGGAATTATAAAGGATTCCTTCCAGATGGGGGGAAAGCTAGAATAATGGATGAATAAAGTGAATAGTTTAAGGTCCGCACAGAGACTCTGCACAGTACCTGAGTACACAGCCGGAGTTCATGAAGTTCATGAAGTAAGGAGCTTTCATTAAACAAAGGGCAGAAAATGCCTTGGTAAACTATATGGATACACATGACCTGGGTAGCTTTCCTGGGAATAGGTTGTTTAGGACTCACGCATTAGGATAGGTAAGAAAAGTGGCAAGTTAATCAGTTATTATTAGAAGATTTATTTTGAAAAACCCGGTCGTTTATTCAAAATAGAAAGAAAAATACGGAGCGCAAAATAAAAACACGTCAGGTCACTACGAAAGAGAACGAACGAACGAATCTAGAGCAGATTGTCTCTAAGACACACTCCTCATTATTCGCGTTGAAAGTTGGTACTGACTTCACGATAACTAGCTTCACTTCACATTATATATTAAGGTCACCCTCTTATATGTTTCCACCTGAGGGGTTCCTACAGTTAGGGCGCTCTCAATATTTATCACTTTTTCGAGTTCCCTGTCTAATTCTGCACTCAGTTATCGTTCCTGTTCGACGAGGGCGTTGTTGATAGCTCCTTATATTAACGCTTTTATCATTGCTGGATTAATTTTTCATTGATTCTGTACTGACTGTTCCGTCTGACTGAGGGCTGGTACCCTAAGTCTAGGCTCTCGTCTATTTTTTCCGTGAATCCTACATCCCGTTGGGCGCCAATTATGTCTAAATGGCTGTCCTGCGCCGCGGTCTCCGTGGCGCAAGCTCCAGAGGCGGCGATCGGGTACACCTGGCCCCGCTGAGGGGGAAGGTGGTTGCCGTTTGGGCAACTAAGATGAAGAAGAAAAATCTGAAGATTTTGGTGAGAGAGTGACTGTCCTCTATCTTGTTGGCACTTAAGTCTCATCAATATAATTAGGTTAATCAATTGTTTACGACTTTCGTCGGAGTTGCTCCGAACTATCCATTCATTTATGCGTCAAAACTTTATCTGACACTTAATTATTAACTTAACCGAAACATACCCGGCGAGCCGGATGCTCATAAACGGAAAATGCTGACCATAAAGTATATATATTCTTGATCAGAATCAATCGCCGAGTCGATTGAGCCATGTCTGTCTGTAAGTCCGTCCGTCAGTCCGTCCTTATGAGCGCCTGGATCTCAGAGACTATAAAAGCTAGAGCCACCAAATTTTGCATCCAGACTTTTGTATGCTCACACTGTTACAAGTGTATATCAAAAATGAGCCACGCCCCCTTCCTCCCCCGGAAAAGGGCAAAAACCTCCAGGCTAAAATTTTGAGGATAAAAAAAAACTAAAAATGCCATTCCGTTGGGAAGGACCATATCTCAGATCACCAAATTGGGATCCGATTGGACCATTATTAAGCCAGAATGAAGAAATTCATTTGCAGTGGCTAAACCCACCCCGTCCCACAGCTTATATCTGTTTTTTCACATTCTCTCATTCACACTCTAGCTACAAGAGCGTGTTGGAGTGAGAAGTGATGTAGATGTGATGACACCTCCTCACAAAACGGAACATCTGCTGGGCGGTGAACAGCTTCAAACCGTTCAAATCGGCAGGTCCTGACAAGGTCATCCCAACTCCCCTTTAGAAGGCTGGGGACCGGCCAATCAACTGGCTACAACGCATCTTCAAGAAGATACTGATAGTGGGGAAGATTCTTAAAGCATGGCTCAAGGCAAGTAGTGGCATTCACGGGAAAAGATCCCCAAACACTCTGTGATCTTATGAACACAAAACTCGCGGGATTGTCAGAATGGACAAGATCGGTCGGACTGGGTGTAGTCCGTCGAAAACGGAACTTGTACTATTCACTAACAAGTACAAAACTCCGCCTCTCAAGATGAGAGTCTCTTGGGGGGGTTGTGATTTGTTTAAATCCAATGGGAAATCGCTTTTACGGTCATTGGAACCCAACCATTTTTTGTTCTTCAATTTAATCTTGGATTTGTGCTTTCTTTCTCACTTCTTCCGATGTTACCGGGATATTTGAATGTTTTTTCGGTAGCCTGATTTCACCCCGTACTTAGGTGCACATCAAGTTACCTATATGAAAGCGGTAGCTAAACCAGTACTGCTCTACGGAGTCACAGTATGGTAAGGACTATAGTAATAGACTTAAGGCTAAATTATTTTCATGGTTGTGGAGTCTGTCGACGTATTTCTTACTAGTTTTCTTTATTTCTTCTTTAATGGTTGGAATATTAAGATCTTTGTGGATATTTGCATTAGATACGTAAAAAGGAGCATTGACAATGTGTCGCAAAGTTTT